GAAACTACACAAAACTGATGAAAGAATTCAGTAAAAACGCACAGAGTAGCGCACCATAAAACACAGATAACTATGCTAAGCTATCTGCCACTGTAGAGATACCATAGATTAAAAATGAACGACACAATTTTAAACAAACAATATCTAAATGAGATGTTTAAGTTTCCTTTACGCAGCAAGTTTTTTAGGTTCTTCCAACCCTGCCCGCAAATAATAATCCCAGCGCGGCTCATTCTGTATGCGTAACAGGCACGCCCCAAAAATTTATCTTCGCATTTTTCAGACAACGCAATTACAGTAATATTTACTTAATGTCCGGACCCTGTCCACGGAAACATGTCAGCCACTGTTTTAATTCCCCAACGTAATACAGGTACATTATTAAAGTAATAAACTCGTGTACTGCTATATATGGGATGTCGTATGGGTTACCCTGCCGGATGGGGTTATTTACATTTCAGTTATTTAGTTGGGTTAATGAGGATATAGGTAAGTAAATAAAGTCTTTACTATTTAATCTGCACTGAGATCCTTCCTCCTATATTATTACTAGCTAACTCACGCAACTTCATCTGCGTTACACCTTTTTTTTTTAAATTATAACACAGGGGACAAACGAGCATACGGCTCACCTGATGGTAAGTGATTACCGCCGCCCATGAGCACCCGCAACACCAGGAGAATTGCAAGTACGTTGTCGGCCTTTTAAAAAGGAATAAGCTCTTTTCTTGAAGGTTTCAATATCGTATCGGTTCGGAAATATCACTGCTGGAAGGTGATTCCACAATGTGGTTGTGCGAGGCAAAAAGTTTCTAGAAAACCGCACTGTGGAGGACCGCCATTCATCCAGATGATTCTTGACTTGATTTATCAGTATACTTGACTTTTATCTGTATTTCACCCAATTTATATAAAGTCTTTTTGAATTATAGCCTTTGTGTTATTCTGATAAATAAGTTATATTATTGTAAAGTTTCATCAACATCCCTTCAGTAGTGTTTGCGTGAGTGTAACAAACATCTATACTTACAAACTTTATGATATTAATAAGATTAATAGATTAACACAGAAAAAAATACATATTTTATAATGTCTACTTTTAAATGACATAGTAGTATCTGAAATAGTAACAAACATCCATCTTTACTCACAATCTTTCGCGTCTTTATTAAATAGTATAAAACAGAGTCGCGGTCGCTGTCTGTCCGTCCCTATAAATCTTTAAAACTACGCAACGGATTTTGAAACGGTTTTTTTAATAGATGCTAGATAATACATGTACACCCGGGCAAAACCGGGGCGAATAGTTAGTTTATAATATTAGTAAGATTTATTTATACTTTTTTATCGTTTATAAAAAAGTATAAATAAATCTTGCATTTGTTTATTGACAAAGTATCGGAAAACGGAGGCACAGTTTAAACAAACAACGATTTTATTTACTTTTTTATGTATTTGCAATGGCAAACAAGCCACAGTACACATGATGTTAAAGTCTACACAAACGTTTAGTAAAAACGCGTCGTGTATATAAATAAAAAAGCCCTTTATTCTAACGCTTTACAATTTAGTTTAAAACCATATTAATTTAAATCCTCAGCAATAGTTGCTACGAAGGCGTAGGTCCTTAGGCTTCTTCATACATCCCTTTCCCGCGCTTTCCTCATCCAGTCCGCTCCAACTCATTACGTAAAAATTACCGTCCATAGTCTTTTAGGATATCCTTGTTTTCGTTTATGTTCCATTGGTATCTATAACTATAACTCATTTAGTCCTATTATTTTCCATTCTGCAATATCATTCTGCATCTTTATATAACAGTTCATTATTGTAACAGTGCTTCCAAATATTAAATAAATACAATTAATATGATAGTTCAACAAAAATTAAAATGTGTTCTTATACTTATCTGAATGGCTACCAGACTTATCTCTAACAACATATTTTATTTCAATAAATTAAACATACTAATTTTTGATCAGTCATAGTTTCCTTCTGCCTTAATTTTGAATGCAAATTCAGTCAAAGAATATATATTAACGTATGAAAATACTTAAATTTTCTTAAATTATGATCGAACGTCTAAAAATTGTATGTAGTTAGGGCATTTCAGTAACATGTTTAATAATACAAATAGCATACCTTTCCAAATTGCACACACTATCTATAACTCTAGGGGACATGAAAACAACGCCTTCGCAAGATCAGATTAACATGTCAAAAAATTTATGATCGTAGGTGTTTACATTTTTGTCAAACATAAAAATTGTATACCTACTTTTATTTAATGTTAAACAGTTCACGAATAAAATATAGTACATAAAAAAATCGATATATATTATATACATAAATAAAGAATTAATTGTTCAATCGAAATTGTTTCTTCTATAATCAATTGTTTTGTCACGTCCCTAATTTTTGGGGTAATTTTAATAAATTATGATTTTTAAGATCACCGCTTGGTTTTGTTTTTAAGTCAATGGGTGATAAAATTTAATAAAAAAATGTTTATTATGAAAATCGATTCTAAATTTTACTATATCAAAAATAGATTAATAATAATATATATTATAATAATCATTAATAAATGATTTTAATTTTTTTCTTTGGAAAAAATTAATAAAAAATGTTTCTGAAGAAAATAGATTTTAAATTATTGTTTCCATTATAGATTATTGCTTCACATCCCTACGACAGACGCTCTGGAGTGAAAAAAAATATTTGTTAAATAAATCGATTATAAATTATTCGATGTTTTCCATAATGGACTATTGTTTCACATCCCTATGGCAGACGAAAACAACGTTCCTCTGCAAGTATCAGATTGAACATGTCAAAGTTTATCTCTGTGATAAACAGTAAAATCAGAGTTACATTGAGTTTATTTTTCCTCTGATTTTTTATGTTATTGGAATGAAGCATTCTAATACTTGTCCAATGTGTGAACAGACGTTAATACAGCTACAAGAGCAGCATCAAAGTATATGATGGAATGATGACTTAATTACCAAATCTATAAAGTACTTCAGAGCGGACCACTAGTATCAATTAGTTGGTCGTAATGGGTTATAACAAACCAAATGCCAGTTATATATAGGTAATATTTATTAAAACCCTTATATCAAAGTTTCATACAAACTGCCGGGTCTCGTATTCAATTCTGTACACTGAGTTTTAAATATATTTTCTTTACAATATTTACATACGTTTTTAGCTACATTTTTCATTGCAACTCCGCTCCTACTGGATGTCCCCTCCGATCGATCCTCCGTCCAATTCAAACGGGGATCAAAATTATGATAGCCTGAGTCGAGGTTCGAACCCCTAGCCGTATTCGTCAGACGGGAGTCGACCTTCAGCCGCACCAAAAGTCCTTCCGCGGGTTTGGAGTGCCATCTGTACTCGCCCCCTATCGTCTGGTGACGCTGAAAAGGCCAACTACGGCCAACAACATTAAAGTAATCCGAAAAAAAAGGAACCTAATGGTTATAGCATGATGTTGTATAGCCTATACTTACCATTCCTCGGTAAATGATCTATCCAACAAGAAAATAATTTATCAGAATCGGTTCAGTAGATCCTAAAACCACCCTCTACATATATGTAGAGGGTGGTTTTAGGATTTTTATATAAATTAGCTAAAATACAATAGAATAGAATAGTGAACTATTCTATATTCATTCATACAATTCATAAATAAACAGACTGATTTACTTTGTCGTCCCCAATAAAGTGACTACTTCAGTAGCAATAGAGAACTTATGTAAAAAACGTACTTACCCGAAAAACCGTACTTGTATCTCAACAAATACTTACATTATCATCCCACATTTGTATTCTCAGGTTGGCTAAACATAAAATGCACGCTCGGATCAATAGCGAAACTCATTTTGTTTTATTCCACCGCTCCGAGCTCCTTGAAGGGCACACTAACCCTTTCAAGTGTGTTTACATTTCACTGGAAGCAGTGAGTAGATAGTGGAAACCGGTAATTAGGGGTAAAACGCTTTGGGTGTTATGGTACTCCGACTTGTGTGCTTGACTTGAAATGAGTCCTTTTTTGACGTACCTACCTACTCAGTGGTTTAGCAAAGCAGCATATAGCATTACTTCCGATGGTCGCGGGTTCTTTCTTGCACGATATCTTACTAATATAATAAATGTTATCTGTGCTAATATTATAAATGCGACGGCTTGTGAGTAGTGGATGTTAGTCACTCTTTCACGCAAAAACTACAAAACGTATTTTGATGAATTTATACTGCTACACAACATGATAGCACATAGGGTAATTTCATGCGAGTGAAACCGCGGGCACAGCTAGTAAACATATATATTTATGAGTTTCAGCCCTATGGATGTACGATTGTTTCCAGGAAAAATCGCGTGCAAGACGACTTGACATTGCATTGCTACCAATGAGGCCCCAATACTTACAATGTGCTTTCCAAATAAAAGCAGTATTAAAAAATAATAATAACTAACATATACTCATGATAAGATAATTCTACATACCTATGGTTTTTGCTTTGCATGATAGTAATTACACACACAAATATATTGTTATTGTATTTATTGTTATTATTTATCTAATGTTGTTGTATCAGTTGCATTTGTAAAAATGCATCATAACTTCGAGTTATAAATTAAAATAATAAAAAAAAAATACTTTGTGAACGCACTCTAAACCATTTATATTTGTTTAAAATTATTAGTATGTTTTCTTTTATTTTAAGTCATTCTCTGATTGGTGCAAAAGGAGCTGTCTATTCCATTCCATGACTATATGTAAGTCTATCTGATCGATGACTCTCTATAATACAAAAATAACATTGTACTTAATTTATAGATAAATGTAAATTTATAAAACATTTCTTAAAAAGGTATGCAATAATTGTTTTGAAATGTGTTCCAGTTTGCGAACATTCATTCTTCTCAAAACCTGGCGGTATTACAGTGTAACGGAACGCACTCGACAGTCGACATGACAGTATATTTTTCTACTCTGACAACAAGAACAAACTCATTCATATTTGCTTGTCATTGCTGCCGACTAATAATTTCCTTTATTTAATTTCTTAATGAGTGAATCCATTTAACTATATTACGATATATACTTAAATAAAATATTTTATTACACGAAGGATCATGAGTTCCATCGGAACAGGTGTAAGTTTCTTCACATAGGTTATGTAGCGTCTATAATTACTCGAATATACAGTGTTTCTACAGTAATTTTTGTTATAAACTAAAATATTTATGCATTTATATGATAATATATTTATAAGTAACTAAATAACTTGTTTATATGATCAACAGAAAAACAAATAGATATTGCTTATTCATCATTCAACAAACCATTAAAAAAATTTCAGTATGACCTCTCAGCGTCACAGTTTTCGCCTGATGGCCGTGTTTTTCAAGTGGAATATGCAGCTAAAGCGGTAGAAAATTCTGGAACAGTAATTGGCCTGAGAGGGAAGGATGGTGTGGTGTTTGCAGTTGAAAAACTGGTCACATCGAAGTTGTATGAGCCTGGTGCTAATAAGAGGATCTTTCATGTTGATGAGCATGTTGGCATGGTGAGTTGTGATATATTATTGTTCATAAAATGTTTTTTAAATGGACTTGTATACACCAGACATATAAATTCTCTTTACTAACATGCACTTTCCCCTAAGAAGTGATGTTTTTTTTGGTACATCTACCAGTAAAATTGGCAAATACTGACAGAACATTAGTAGAAGTTAAATAATTAAAAATTCAGTCTGCATTTACATTTAAACAAAGATAACTACTTTCAGACGCTTCTCTCTCACACATGCATTCACCTGCACTCACACAGTAACAATAAAACATGTAGGTTTATTTGTTACTAGCTGTACTTGCTACTTGGTCTGTATGAAATTTTATTTTATTATTCTAAAGTAAAAGTAGCCTGTTACTCCTTACTACATCAGCTATCTGCCAATAAAAGTCCCGACAAAATTGGTCCAGCCATTTCAGAGATTAAAACAACAGACAGACAGATAGAAGAAAAAAATTGTAAAAAATGTTATTTTGTACTTACATTCATATGCATGTAGTAAAAAACGGTTGTTTCTATATTACAAACAGACACTCCAATTTCATTTATATGTATAGATATTTTACTATTGTATAAATGCCATTGTATTTTTATACCAGTATTATGTACCAATGTTAATGTCACTTGATTTGATTTCTACAATACAGTCATAGCCTGGATGATGCTGTGTGAATTATCAATATATTTAATAATTATAGTTATTTTTATTCTCATTATTTTAATCATAATATTTAAAGTTACATTCTTAACATGTTAAAGACAGCATGCTTACCGGTGGGTCACTCTGCAACGAAAGTAAACTTACACATTGGGACCAGGTGATCACCCATGGACACTTTAATTGAGATAAATCTAGGGTTAAATAATCTCCACATCAAATTATTGTACACTAAAAACATATTTACAAAATAGTATATGTAATTAACAATAAAAAATTCTGGTCCCTGTGATAAATAAGATTTTTCAATGGGTCTTCAACATTGTAAAGATATCCTATAACATTGTTTTATCATTTCAGGCCGTAGCAGGACTTATTTCAGATGCTCGTCAAATCGTCGAAACAGCTCGTTCAGAAGCGTCAAACTACAGATCTCAGTATGGAGTGCCAGTGCCTCTGAAATACTTAAATGAACGTGTTTCCATGTACATGCATGCATATACACTATACAGCGCTGTCCGTCCATATGGCTGTTCCATGGTCATGGGTACTTGGACGGATTATGAAGGACCACAGATGTACATGTTGGATCCTAGTGGAGTTTCTTTTGTGAGTTTAATTTTTTTAATGCTTTTATTTATACATTTAATTCAGGCTACATGGCCCATATTATAAATACCTTATAGACTAACATACAAAGAAATAATAATATAATATGTAAATAAAAATCCTTATGGTCACGGAACTGACGACGGCAATCTGCCACGGTAGCGCCGACATACCACCCCCTTCGGTCAGTAGTCCTCCATAATGATGGTGGGCAGCATGTTGGTGGGGACCTAGACCACAAATGCTTTGAATCTCGCATTGTGACTCGATTCTAGCTGCATCACCCTAAATGTTAGGTTACTTTTGATCTGGTCCATTGGTTTTTGATGGTGGCAAACAAGCATATGGCTATCTGCCAGACACGAGGAGACATAAGGGATGTCATGTGCTCATTGCTGACACGTAAGAAACCTTAATATACCCTTCCTGAAAACCCCCATGCCATAGTCTCTATAGAAAATCTCAGCAGATAGTTAATTCTACAATCTAAGTAGGAAATAGAAGGAAGCCCTTCTGAAACAGTACTGTCCTAGACCACTTAGGTGCCAATTTGTGGGGATGAATTCCCTAGGGATGGTGAGTGGTGAAAAGGTAGCTTTTATTATATGTTATTTTTATATAGAAGAAAACAGGATTTCTTGTAAAATGATGTTTATACAATTACCAGGTTTTTTAATTCGCTAACTATGCTTTATAAAACAAAACAATTAATTCATAATCATAACTGATAAAAATTTTAGGCAAATCGTAGGCAAAATTTATTTTCTGTAAATTTCTCTCTAGAAAAAGACTGACTGTAGTTCAGTGACTGTCTTCAGAGTCCCATAATCGATTTAGCGGTTTTAATGTGAAAATGTAATAAGATTTTTACGTGTTTCAGTCATATTTTGGCTGCGCCGTCGGCAAAGCCAAGCAAGCTGCCAAGACTGAAATTGAGAAACTGAAATTGGGTGATCTCACCGTTAAAGAGTTGGTGAGGGAGGCAGCCAGAATGTAAGTAAATGAGCACAGATGTTTTTATGATTGATTATGGAATGCATCATGCAAGGGTGCATCATTAGAGTACAATAGGATGAGCATGAGGTCAGTTGGCACATTATGATAAATTCACTAGGAATTTATCAAAAGCCTATTCAAATTTAAATTTAAAAAATAATTTATCATGTAGGACATTTTAGCCGCTTATGAACGTCAAATTCTTTATATTATAATTTTTTTCCCTACCATCCAGTATTGCTGTATATTGTTCAGCCAATTGAAAAGACTGGCAAGTAACTCAATAGAATTACCTATTGATGCTATGAAAGAGTAATGAGGTTGCATTACTATTCTACCGCATCTCTGGCAGCATAACATCGTACAAGAGGTTTACAAACGCAACTAATCTTGAAGTTTTTAAATTAAGACCACTATCCGGATTTTAAGAACTTGCTAACACTAAAAAATTGTCAATTTAATATTAAAAATAACCTGTAAAATTGGACCCGCAAATAGAATTTCGATAAATTAAAAATTATAGGAGCTCCCTATAATTTTTAATTCATCGAAATTCTAAGTAATATAAAAACTTAAACAGTGCCATCTATTTGAATATTTGTGCAACATCTATGCGTGCACTGATTCTAATAAATTTAGTAAAACGACAACAGATGGCGCTATTTCGTATTATTTTAAACTACTCAATTTTCTCTTTTTTCAGCATCTATTTAGTACATGATGAATTAAAAGATAAACAATTCGAGTTGGAACTGTCCTGGGTGTCGGAGGCGACTAAAGGGCGTCACGAAATGGTGCCCAAGGAACTGGCGAAAGAAGCGGAGAACGTGGCTAAACAGGCCCTGGCCGATATCGAGGATTCTGATGAGGGAGACATGTGAACTTAGTTAATACATTTTTATTATAAATTGTATTTTATTTCACCCTGAGTCATACCACTTCTTCTTGTGATAATATGTTAATTTGAAATTACAAACAGATACTGTAATTTTATTTTTTATATATAATAACATCCATGAACAATTCACACAAAACACATCTAGTCCCAAGGTAAGCAGAGCTTGTGCTGTGGGTACTAGATAACGGATATATATATATATTTTGTAAAGACATGCTTATTGTAACGTGCGAGCAATCAAACTCATCTAAAGTAAAGCGAGGGAATACCATAGAGACTGACAATATGTACAACTAGACCATTTCGGAAAAGGTGTTTTTTCTAACTTAACTACCCTTCCCAACTTCCATTTGTTTCCACCCAAACCCTCAGATTGCAACTAAATTCCCTAATTTTAGGGAGAAAATCCCATATCTGGCATCACCGTTTATTGCAAGAGAAACAACATTTGATATTATTATTGGACATGAATTTCAATTTTTGTAATTTATATTGTAAAGCTTTAAATTGGGCTAAAAAGGACTTGTATCAAGAGCCGTAAAATATATTATTAAAAAAAACAATATTACACCACACCTTAAAAACTAAGTAACAGAAATATATCTATCTTGTTTTAATAAAGTTGTCATGCTCACGCATTGTAGGCTACATGTATTTCTGTTTGCCTGGTACTTGTCATTTAAATACTTTATAAAATAATGCGTTTTTAACTTAGTTTACGCGATGTATAATCATAATCAATCTACGTCAATATACGTCAACGGAACTGCGACAATCGTGGAAATATAGCTATTTATTTTATTTTAATCTACCCACGTATTGTGTACAGACCCTTGATATTTCTGTTCTCCTGGTACTGTGCATTGGAATAACTAATTTTAATATACAGAAACCATTGAAACTCAAATATATTTTTACTTTAGACGCCTAGTATTTCTGTAGACCTGGTATTGACAATTTGAATTTTGCTGTTCTGCAATCAATATAATATCAAGCGTGGGTGGCTACGTACACTTAGCAATAAAAACTTTAATATATCCAATTTTCAGGTTTCTTAAGGGTCGGCGAAATTATCTACCTACCTACCTACCACCTACCCTACTTGAAAACCTAAAAAGTGAACAATTAATCCAGAATAAATTGGAAACTCCTCTTCCAATTTGGATTCAATTTATATTTTTACACTATTACTGATATACGACATAGCTTGGAAGATCATATCCTCAGGACGGTGTTACATATGAATGTGTATGGTTATAAGGGTAGAGGAAGACCGAAAAAGAGATGGATGGACTGTGTGAAAGATGATATGGTGAGTAAGGGAGTAAATAACGGGATGACTGCGAACAGAGATGAATGGAAGAGAAAAACATTACGCCGACCCCAAATAAATGGGATAAGGAAGAAGCAGATGATGAGTGTAATACCTATACGACATAGCTTTTTTATAATTACTCATTATTAACCTAATAATAATAATAAGGTTGCCTGGGAGAGATATGTAGCTTTTTAGCGATAAGGCCGCCCATTTTTTGTTTATTATAGTTTTATCATTTTATTGGTTTTTTTTTATTATCATTATACATAATTGTATATGTAGCTCTATTTTCTGTGAGAGGAACAATAAGAAGTTTCTCAGTCATTTATTCTTAACGACGAAAAATAGACAAATAATGTAATATTTTGTTTAGGGACACAACAAAATTGTTTCCAAAATAGTCAAAAATACTACATGTACATGGTAAATTCCCTAAATTTATAGGGGTTAAATAACATGTAAGTAGATTAAATTTTAGGACTGTATGAAAGAAAAAACAAGGTATAGTTGTTGATTTATTTAATTTCGTATTGTCACTTTATGTATAATATCTCACAATATTTGCAGATATACTAAGAACAATATACAAATTTCATGACCAATATTTTATGACTCGCATATTTATAAAATTTACAATATAATCTCATTCGTTTTGCACTTATTTTTTTATATTTACAAAATATTTAAATTTGATAAAGTTGTATACAATATTTATAATATATATATATATATTTAGGTTAGCGATATAAATACATAAAAAACTAATAAGAACATTATGTACAGATTATGATCAGGTCATATATAAGCTTCAGTTTATTCCTGCTTGTCGGTTACTCTTGGATATAACTGGAACGAATAAAAAATACAACATTATTATATAGATATACCTTAGGTAATTTTACTACCTAATATTATAAACGCGAAACTTTGTAAATGGATATTAGTTACTCTTTCACGCAGAAACTACTGGACATTTGATGAAACTATATATAGCTTATGCATCATTTTATGCAGCATGCAATTTAACACAGTACAATATATTTATAAAAAACTATAGTCCCGGCAAACGTTGTTTTGCCATATAAATTAATAACGCTATAAAAAAATAGGGGTTGATGATAGAAGGGTGAAAATTTAGGATTGTATGTATTTTTGTATGTTGTATCATAAAAAAATAGAAACTAAAATTTTGTCTAAAAAATAAAAAAAAAAATTTAGGGTTGGACTACCCCTAACATTTAGGGGGATGAAAAATAGATCATGGCTGATTCTCAGACCTACTCAATACGCTCACAAAATGTCATGAGGATCGGTCAAGCCGTTTCGGAGGAGTATGGGAACGAAAACTGTGACACGAGAATTTTATATATAAGATAAACTTACCCCTAACAGGTTCCGGGGCACGTACCCCTGTCGCGCCCCCAGCCGACACCACCACCACTCTCGTTCACTGTCATCCCCCTTCCGGACCACGTTAAGCGCAGCCCCGCTAGTGAACGAGAGCTCGTCATTCCTCGCGGCAGTATATGAGAACACAGCATATACCAGGCCGTTGTTCATTATACCTAACTTCTCTTTCACACCTGTAAAATATTTATTTATTTTAAAGTTTATGAGTAAATCTATTTTTTTTTATTTATTACTCTTTATTACACCTTATAAAACATAAATACATAGTATGTAGGTGCAAAAGCCCATATCGCTTATCAAATCAAAATATCTTTATTCATGTAGGTCTGTTACAGACTCTTCATCATCATCATCATCATCATCGCAGCCCGGAGGACGTCCACTGCTGGACATAGGCCTCCCCCAAAGATCTCCACGACGATCGGTCCTGCGCTGCTCCGGAATGATATCGAAATGAGAAGAACTGACAAGAAGCTCATCTCGTATTCTTTTTAAAGGTTGTACATGTTTAAAATAATACAGATTTTACATTTTTAAATTCAAATTTGGGAGGATAGAGTGACTACCAGCATATACTATAGCTCAAGGGATTCTCTTACTAATATTATAAACGCGAAAGTGAGTGTGAATAGATAAATGTTTGTTACTTTCACGCAAAAACCACAGAACGGACTTTAATGAAACTTTACAGTAATGTAGTTTATATATCAGAATAACACATAGAATATGATTTGAAAAGATATGCAAATTGAGAGAAATAATAAGAGCAGACGAAGTTGAAATGCAAAATATTACATTCACTAAATACTACTTTTTATGTAAATACATACATAATATACATAGAAAATGCCTATATCGATATCAACAATCATACTCATGTATACAAATGTTTGAACCGTGCGCGGAATCGAACCCGAGACCATCGGAAGTAAAGCGGTGTGCTAAACCACTGGACCACCGTCGTCATATTCTGATTATTAATTTTTATTCTTATCAGTAATATATTGTTTATCAGTTATTCTCTCTTATTTGCTTATTAAGGCGAGAAGTTTTGAGATAGCTTCTTTCATAGTCATTTCAATAGATATGTTACACCCCTCCGATCGATCCCCCGCCCAATTCAAAAGGGGACCGATGTTACGATGGCCTAAGTGGAGGTTCGCCCCTAGCGATGCCCTCAGACTAAAGTCGTATCCATCAGGCGGGAGTTGGCCTTCAGCCGAAGTCATTGCGCGGGTTTGCAGTGCCATCTGCATTCGCCCCCTATCATCTGATGCTGTAAAGGGCAGCTGCGGCCAACAGCATTAAAGTAATCAGAAAAAAGATGTGTTACTTACTGTACAGATATTCCGAACAGCCGTCGAAGCCTTCCTCGTCCTCTTCGCACTTCTCGGCCGCGGTCTCTTGGTCAGACAGCGTCGTTGCGAATATACACGCACCTGTTGAGTGAAAACATCGTTAACATTCGCGGATACTACAAACGGAAAACACACAGACTAATAAAAACAACCATACTCATGAATACAAATATTTATATCATGCAAGGAATCGAACCTGCGACTATCGGAAGTGAAGCGGTATACTATACCCGCTAGTCCATGGAGACCGTTAAATTGATTTTAATGTATGAACTTTGTGTAATTATTACCTGCTTGTTGTCAGTAGTGCAGTTCATATATAGATTACGATTATTACTTTCCATCAGGTATTTCGTCAGGTTATATTTCATCTATATATAATCTAATACGTGAAATAAAAACTTTGTACACCTTTTGGGAAAGTTGCGCGGACGCAGGAGTATGAAATTTCGCTAACATATATTAATGCTACGTTTACATTCAGCCGCTTCCCCTACCACTCGCGCTGCTGGAAATATTGCCGGGTGACAATTGAGCGAGGGGGCTGAATGTAAAAACATGCTGCCACTCGCGCTGCCAGTCCTTTGACTAGCGCATGAAAAACCGACAATCGAGGGAGCGCCGGGCAGCGCGAGTGGCAGCGCCAATGGCATGGGAAGTGTTCACACTCTCGCGCTGCTCACTTCCGTGATCACTTTCCTGCCCACTCGGGCTGAGTGTAAATTGGGCATTATACATAGAAGGAGTGCAGAATGCTATTTTTTTCTAAATTATGTTAAAAATACATTAAATCGATTAAAAAAACATTGCACACATTACCATGTATTTGACAAATACATGTATATTATACTCATTTGTTTATGGTTAAAGTCTGTGGTCAAATTCACTACCAAAGACACTGCATTAATACTTTTTTGTTAATTGTTAGTCTGTGGTCAAATTGAGAATAGATTAATATTTTTTGTCTTTAATATTATTTGTCTATAGTGGTGAATGTTAAATTAATTATGGTCGAATTTGGACCACTAGTTTCATAAAAAAGAAAAACTACGACCATCTGTGAACTAACCATTATCGACGAGGAAGCGGACCATCGGCAAGTTGTTGCAGGAGGCGGCACAGTGTAGAGGCGTCCACCCGTCTGAGTCTTGAGCGTTCACATCACAGCCCAATTCCACCAGGAATCTGCGGAACGATTTATTATCATTACATAGTATAAAACAAAGTCGCTGTCGCTGTCTGTCCCATGTATAAGTATGCTTAAATCTATAAAACTACAACGGATTTTGAAACGTCTTTTTTAATAGATCGAGCGATTCAAGAGGAAGGTTTATATATATATATATATATAATACATGTACACCCAAAGCCGGGACGAGCGATAATAATGTTATCCTGAAAAAATCACACAGCGCCATCTAGTCCCAAGTTAAGCTAGCTACCTACATAACTGATACAAATACATAGTTATTTATTTTTTAAATATCTAAGTATGTATTTGTATCGAAAATGAATACATGAAAATGAATACAATGAAATGAAAATGAAAAAATTCACACGTCGCCATCTAGGCACAAGCTGAGCAGTATTTGCTTTATGGGTACTAAACAATTGATAGAAATATTTTAATAGATGTCTTTGTAAATACATACATAATATTACAATAATATAATAACCCTGAATAGACCTTACTGCGCAATCTAGTCCTAAGTTAACCAGCACTTAAGTAATGTACAAGACAACAGATATGAATTACTTAAATACATGTTTTTTGTAAATATACGCATAATAATAATAATAATATAATATCTCAGGACAATTCACACAACGCCATCTAGTCTCAAGCTAAGGTTATGAGTATTAGCGAACTGATATAAATAAATGGAAACATTTTTTTTTTGTAAATAAATACATATTATACATAGAAAACACCCAGACCGATACAAACAATCATACTCATGAATACAAATGTTTGTACCGTGCGAGGAATCGAACCCACGACCATCGGATAGTAAAGCGGTGTGCTAAACCACTAGACCACCGAGGCTGTCAAGGTTTGATATCAATAATTATTGAATATAAAAATATAAACACCCTAACCAATACAAATAATCATACTCATGAATACAATGTTTGCACCGCGCAAGGAATCGAACCCGCCATCATCAGAAGTAAAGTGGTGTGCTATTCCACTAGAGAGCTGTAGAATAAAAAAAACATGACTATTCAAAGATTAACAATAAGGTACATTACCTTAATAATTTATTACATACATTGACATGTCGTCATAGTGACGTTTTTACATTTTTTGACACTAATAGTTTTATTAGTGATTTTTATTTGACAAAAGATACAATGTATCTTTCTAAATCTTCTAAGAATAAAATAGCCACTTTAGTGGCTTATAATATTGACTTCATGAACAGTTTACATGGTAAACTTCAATATAAAAATTGTGACATAACAAATGATTCTATTAATTTTTGTTTAAATAGTGATATAAGTAATTTGACTGCAGATTTAAACTGCTAACAAAGACAAAGGGAAAGCAATTAGAATTGGTAATTGTTCATCAGAACATACAAAGTTTTCCCGGCAGTGAATTAATTATACAATTATTTTTGGAAAAATACAATATTGACATTATCTGTTTCACTGAACATTGGCTTAAAGAAAGCAATATGATGTTCAGTTTAAATAATTATAATGTTGTCAGCTGCTTCAATAGAAAGTCAGTTAACAGAGGTGGGTCTATGATAATTGCAAGAAATAATATTAAAGTAAAGGAACGTGCTGACATTGTTAGACTTTCTATTGAGTGTTGTACAGAAATCTCATGTATAGAACTAGATAATTATATACTTATATGTGTTTATAGGCCTCCTAATAGTGATTATAATGTATTTGAAGAGGTGTTGGGGGATATATTTAAAAAAGTATTTAATAGCAGTAAAAAAATCATTGTGTGTGGTGATTTTAACGTTGATATTCTTTGTGATACACCCACATGTACAAAAATTATTAGTTTATTTCAGTCTTTTAATTTGAGTAATGTCTTTCAGGAACCCACTCGTGTAACCGCTACGACTGCTACTTGTCTTGACAATGTTTTTTGTAACTGTGAGTATATTGAAAAATTAATAATAAATAAACTTCCTTCGGATCACTGTGGTCAAGTTGTTAAGTTTAGTAATCAGACTAAAAAAAATACCAATAATAAAAGATCAAAAAGACAAATAAATGCTTACAATATTAATAAATACAAAAGCACGGTTAAATATAAATTAGACTTAGAGTTACAATCTGTCAGTCTTAATAATCCTGATATTCTTTACACCAAGTTAATTAGTCTTTTGTCAAAAGAATACCAGAATATTTTCAAGAAAAGAGAATATTGTGTTAAGTCTAAATTTACAGAATGGGCAACAGTAGGAATACTTAAAAGTAGAAACATTTTCTTTGATTTATATGATCAAAAAAAATATAGATTTGATGACAAATTTACAACTTATGTGAGAAATTACTCTAAAATTTTCAAACAAGTTTGTATTGCAGCTAAATCTAATTTTATAAATAAACAAATTAATCAGTCCTCTCACAAAATTAAGACCATCTGGGGAATTATAAACAAAGAAACTGGACGGTCTGAAAAAGCCTGCAATCAATTCTCATTAAATTATGACAATAAGTTAATAACAGCAACAAAAGATATAGTTCATATTTTTCAAGATTTTTTTGCTAATATTCCGATTGATATTACATCTTCTCTAGACTCATCTCCAATTCGAGCAAAAACATTACTGGAGGCTAATGTCAGCCCTTGCTCTTTAACATTTAAATTTTCACATGTCAGCCCTTTTCATGTCATAAAAATATTCAAACAATTAAATTTAAAAAATACGGAAGATCTCTGGGACATGTCAGTTAAAGTAGTTAGTACATTCATAGATATTGTTGCTCCTTATCTAGCTACTATTTTCAATAAATGTGTTGATAATGGCGTGTTTCCTCAATTAATGAAATTTAGCAAATTAATTCCACTCTTTAAATCTGGAGATAGATTTGAGCTAGGCAACTATAGACCAATTTCTATTTTGCCAGTTCTAAGTAAAGTATTTGAAAAGATTATGTTTAACCAAATGTTAAAATACTTCAGGGATAACGGACTGCTTCACAGTCAGCAATATGGTTTCACTGCCGGCAAGTCTACTACTGATGCAGGTGTAGCGCTTATTACACATATATTCGAATCATGGGAAAACTCACAGGATGCTCTCGGCGTTTTTTGTGACTTGTCGAAGGCGTTTGATTGCGTAGATCATGAAACACTTTTGTACAAGCTCAAATATTATGGTATTAGAGATAATGACCTAAGTCTAATGAAAAGTTATCTAGAGGATAGGGTGCAAACTGTAGATATTGATGGTGTAAAGTCTAAGGGAACTAATATAAAAATGGGCGTTCCTCAAGGTTCAATATTAGGCCCATTTCTCTTTTTAATTTATATAAATGACCTTCCCTACATGGTAGAGAAAGTTGCAGATATTGAAAGAAAGAAAGAAAGAAAAAACATTTATTGTCAACCATTTTTACATATACATATATACATACATATATACACACTTAGGACAATTACAATAATAATTTATCTTATTTCTAAATATGGTTGACAACATGACTGACACTCAGCATATGCCGTGACAGCTAACTGTCACGGCGCTGGTATTCTGTGCCTGCCATTAGTGACAACACGTACAGCTCGATGTCAGTTTTTTGACCTTTGACATCTGTCAGATGTCATTATTGTTACTGACAGCAAAATTTTTACACGTGTTCGAGACCTGCCACGTACACAATTACAATTTTAAAATTAATATTAAGGAACAGAAAAATACTACAGTTACTAAAATACTACAAGCACAACAAGAAAAAAAAAAACACAACACAGAGGGATTATTCTCCGCTACATCAAGCCACCATCCACCGCCGTGCCCATCGTGCAGATCCAAAAGGTAATTTAATTTAATTAGACAATTTTTGACTATTAATAAGATGTTCTCTAAGACATTTACTAAAACTATATTTTGTGGTTTTAGCACGTAATGGAGGCGGAATATTATTCCAGCAAGACGTAGCGGAGTATCTGAAAGAGCCCCTGAAAGACACAGTTCTATGTTTTTGAGTAGTAAGCAGATGAGAGGAGGCCCTTGTGCGATAGTTATGACTATCACGAGACCACGACAACTTTTCAGCAAGATATGGAGGTTTATTTGTTTTAATGATTCCAAATAAGAGAGTGGCAAAGTGTAACTGTCTTCTAAAATTCATCTTCAACATATTTCCTTTGTTGAGATAAGGTGTGACATGTGCACGTGGAGGAACATGATAACAAAAACGTGCACAAGCATTCTGTACACGCTGTATTAAGCGCTCTGATCTTGCAAGAAGACAAGGTCCAAATGTTGCATCTGCATAATTCAACTTTGACAATACAAGAGACTCACACAACTTTATCCTCAATTCCACCGAAAGATATTGTCTAATTTGGTACAAAAGCTTAAGTCGATAAAAACTATTCCTGGTGGCCTCAATTATATGTTTCTCAAAATTCATGTTAGAATCAAAGAGAACTCCTAGATTCCTTGCCTCCGTTACTCTTTCAATAGATTTCCCATTTATAGAAACAGGCAATGTCATACGTTCTATAATACCATTCACCTGTTTCTTTGTACCAAGAATTATATATTTTGATTTGGTTGGATTAAGCACCAGGCAGTTCTTATTTGACCACAGACTAACTCTCTCTAGATCTTCATTTAATTTTCTAATACTGTCCAGTGTATTCTTCGGGTGACAATCAATATACAATTGCAGATCATCTGCGTAAAGATGATATTTGCAATGCTGCATGCAATCAATGATATCAGCACTGTACAGAATAAAAAGAATTGGACCAAGAATTGATCCTTGAGGCACTCCTCTGTGTACTGATCTAGGTGCTGAATAATTTCTTGTTCCACAATTTGATTGAATCTCCACTATCTGCATTCGTCCAGTGAGATAACTATGGAACCAGGAGACTGCGCAAGAGTCAAATCCATAGTATGACAGTTTTGACAGCAACAATGATGAATTTATTGTTTCGAAAGCACGAGAAAAATCTAGCAATGCCAAGACTGTCCCCC